TTCTCCCCACACTGCTCTGCCTCCTATATCAAACAGTTAGGTGAGTACCTATAACAGACTTATAGTGTGTACTACACAATATAACTAATACCACCTTTCTCCCCACACTGCTCTGCCTCCTATATCAAACAGTTAGGTGAGTACCTATAACAGACTTATAGTGTGTACTACACAATATAACTAATACCACCTTTCTCCCCACACTGCTCTGCCTCCTATATCAAACAGTTAGGTGAGTACCTATAACAGACTTATAGTGTGTGCTACACTATATCATTTATACCACCCTTCTCCCCACACTGCCGTGCCTCCTATAACAAACTGTTAGGTGAGTACCTATAACAGACTAAGTGTGTACTACACTATATCATTTATACCACCTTTCTCCCCACACTGCCGTGCCTCCTATAATAGAATGCTGTGTAGGTGGGTACCTATGACAGATTTAGTGTATACTATAAAATATCACTAATAACAGATATATTAGGGCCCTTCTGTTACTAAAAATTGACCATGGGGAGAGACTAATCATTTTGAAATTTGACATTGATACACTTTATTATATAGATACCCAATAGGGGTTCGAAAGGCTTCTAAGGGTTAGATCACTGTTACTAAAAAAAGTCTATGGGGACTATGGTTAGGCACATGGTTGGGGCCCATGCTGATCATGATCTGTTTCTGTTTAGTACAGACACTGTCATCTACAACAAACTGTACATTAGTGTCCAACACTATCCGCTCCTACTACAGACGATTTATTAACTCATTCACCCCTGAAGACACATGTGAACTCGTCCAACTTAAAGGTTGATATAGTGTAGTGTAGTTCATTATGAAATTTCAGGTGTGTACGAGTTAGTCGATATCTAACTTGTCACCTACAAGCTTCTTAATTTACATAGGCCCCACAGTCACAGTCATCTATAACTGCAGTGTTCTACTCGTATTTTATATAGGCTGATACATTGCATTTTATATGGAGGTTTAAGACCAAGCGCCGCACATTACTAACCATTAATCACGTGCACACAGTCCGTCGGATGGGACTTAAAATGGTGTCCCGTGTGAGACTGTCCACATCGCACCCAAAAGATCCCTCTGAGTATTGTCGAAGAAGAGTAGGCGTGGTAATGCCGACCCAGAGGTTAGGATTTTTTAGACTTATGATAAGGTTTAGGTGTATTTATTAGAATTTTAGACGGGCTTCAAAAATCAGATTTAATCAAGTTAATCCTAGCTAGGGCTAAACCGACTTGGCTGGTTTCAGGGTTTTCCTTGGGGTGCCATCCCTTCGCTCTTCTCTAACCGTGCACAACATCTTGATGCGCTATAGATCAACGTTAGGTAACCATTTTTCGACCCAGGAGTCGTCACGCAAAATTATACTATCCCCCTTGTAGGTTTATAGGACAGACAACTTATATATCTCCTCCACCTCTGCTCTCTCCTCTTCTCTCCTTTCTCTACATACTATGTCCCTTCTATTTTCCTTTCCTATCTGTTCTCGTCGAAAGGCCGTAATAGCAGACGTTAAACCTTCAGAATCAAAAACAAAGACACAGCACCATATCAAATTTAGGTGGGGAGGGTTCATCATGTGGCCTACATAGCTTTTGTCTTTTTAGATAGGTAACAGACTGTGAGAAGGTCACACTACCTACTTATCATTCATAGTATTTTGAGTATGTAGCACTGAAAGTTGTATCCACAGAACAAGAGGTCCATGGGCCTTAACGGTCACCTGATATATCTATACAGAGAGTTGATTTTTGTTTTTAACATGGAACAGAAATATTATTCAAAGTGACAAAAAACAATAAAACCACCTTATTCAATATCTAGCATGCAGATTTAAGACTGAAAAGTTTTTGAAACTAGCACCTCTGATTCTAAGCTAGGAAAATGAAGAAATTTTATTTTAGCACACAGACTCCATTGGGCCCCACCCTACAGCCCTTGGGGGTAGGGATGGCTCAAAATCTGCCATTATAAACCATAACAAATTTTGCCCCCCACCCCCCTCTTCCCCAGGGGTAAACGTGAGACCCCATGGTTATGAAATTCACAATTTTGGTAGAGCACCTTAAGACCCTTCCATCTATGCAGAGTATTTGATTCTAACATATCTGGATCTTGAGAAGAAGATTTTGAAATTTCAATCAATTCAACCCTTTTTGGCCCCACCCATCAGCCCCTGGGGGTCAGTCAGGGCTGATATGTGCATACTATCAAACTGCTACCCAATACTGATAATGCTAACCTAAATTGAATTACTTCCAATGGCAATTAAACAAATGTTGGTCCAAAATGTGATTTTCCTTTACAAACTATATTAAAGTTTACACCCTCCCCAGGAGGAAACGTGATACCCCAGGGTCAAGAAATTCACAATTTTAGTAAAGCACCTTAAGACCCTTCCATCTATGAAGAGTATTTGATTCTAACATATCTGGATCTTGAGAAGAAGATTTTTGAAATTTTAGTCAATTTTACCCTTTTTGGCCCCGCCTCTCTGGCCCCTGGGGGCCTGGGACCATATAATTCACAATTTTAGTTGAACTTTGGCCATGGAAGGTTTCTGCAACATTTCATTGAAATTGGTTCAGGGGTTTTTGAGAAGGAGTCGAAAATGTAAATTGTTTACGGACGCACGACGCCGGACAAAAGGCGATCGCAATAGGTCACTTGAGACTTTGTCTCAGGTGTCCTAAAAATCCACATTGTCACTTCTTTGATAGACTTATGTTTCAAAGTCCTTTCACAAGTTTTAATTCTAAGTGGAAACTTGATTTTGTACCTAAAACTTACTGAAACAACAACTTAGTTAAAAAATAGCCATACTTGTTAATTGTATATCATTCATGAATATTTGTTACTGTTACCTGTGTTATATTATCATTGTAGGGACCAATTTGGTTTGGGGAGGCAATCCTGTGGACCATGCTTATGCACAAGAAGACTCCTGGAGACGAATTCTCCATTTCCTCAATAAACATTTACGTGAAGGACATAGAAAAGAAGGGATTAAAAGTCTGCTATAGCTCAACGTAGAAATAAAAACATGTTCTTATGCTGTGTTATAGTTTACATTATGTGGTTCATTGTCAGAATAACTAAGGAATTGTTCCATCAAACATCTCCAACATTCACGGCTAGTATGGAATGGAACAAGTAACAAGTGACCTTCAGTTGTAGAACAGAAGGAGGACCACAACTACATCCTACCCAATGAAGTGCTCTAGTTATTTCACAATTTAAAATGTCAAACAAAAGTGTCTGCGACATTCACGTCAGAGAAATAATGTGGTTTCATACTTTTGATGTATGTGACCTTGTAATAAATCAATTTACTCTGAATGTCGTGCTTTGTTCTCATCACCAACCTAGTTATATTCTTGTTATTATGAGAAGTCGTAGTGGCTGTAACCTCCAGGAATTCAAGTGTAACATTGTCACAACAGTTTCACTTACGTTGTAGCTATGTAGAAATGTGTCAAGACAAATTCCACGAATATGTAGTATGGAAGGAGAAAGAGTACCGTTTGACAGCAAGTATTGCAAATTCAGATAGATAAACGATTTTTAGCTTTTAAGATGATCACATTTCATCCATGGTCATTCCATCCGTCCTTACACAATTTTTGTTTCTCAAAAAGAACCTGGACAGGTATTTCTCGTATTTCAAATGAAGGTTTCCCATGGTTTATGAATATTTGTTGTCCCCCATGATCATCCGGTTGAATACAATGGTTCAAAGTTATTTCCACTGACTGTTATGTGAGAGCTTACTGTTGTTAGAAGTACCTAGTAAACAAAAATGTATTCCAAAGGGATTCCTAATTCTTAATCGATTGATATATATATTAACATGTACTATCCTACACCATCATACACGTGTATTAGAGTGTGAACATCACGAACACACGATGTGGTGCCAGTGACGTAGTAAATCATTTTTCGAAGTGTATGCTTACATAGGGTTCAGTGCTTACATAGGGTTCAGTGCTTACATAGGGTTCAGCTACTCAGCTGCTCGGCTACTATAACATGAGAGGCCGCTGGTCGGTCTTTTTTCTATCGGATATGATTTTGCCGACTGCGACGCGCCTGTCAAACGTTTTTCGCCGCGTAAAACCTCTAACATTGTTGGAGTAAGGGTTCAGCACCCGAGGAGGGGGAGGGGGGATTCTACTAGGACCTAGAAGCAATCTCGCGTATTCTGGGAACTCCTTTTAGTCTGATTATTACAAGTAAAACCCAACATTTTACATAACATTTACTTGACATAATATTGAATTTTGTACTTCAATAAGTAGTTTTTGTTTTACGTAAACCTTCGAGATTGTTCAATGTTTATAGACATAACATAGCAGCACTTTTTTATCAGTCTAAAATTTTCAAGTAGCTTTTTTCATTACTTTTACTTTCCTTTTTATGATTGGGACGGTCCATATCAATGATAAAAATAGAAATGAATAAAAATATCTGATTAAAAAAAATCATCTTGAAAATTTTAGTGTATGCTTAAGCATGCAAGCATACATTTATGCAACGCCACTGGGTGGTGTTTGTATGATCCTAACACTCTCACAGGTATCGTAATACATGTATGTCAATGCTTTTTATCATCTTTTAGTATTATGCTGTTGTACATCAATTGTGTTATGTTGTGTGATAACAGCTGTAGTATATCCCTTGGCCTGCTGGTGATAAAAGTGGGTATGATGTAAACACGTTCTATGTTTTGCATGCTTTCGTAACTTTCTATTGTCATAGTCGCACATCATGTATGTTAACCTTTTTAACTCTACCACACTGCAGTAACAGTGGGATACACAGCCTCTGTATGCTGTTGCATGAATTCATGAGGTGACTAATTTTAAAACATTTAATGTGTCTGACCATGCTTAACTGGTTTTTTTCTTGTTTTCTTATTTAAGGACACTGATGAGACTATAATGTATCTGTTGTACCGGTTGCAATAGTTCCTATTTCATAACGCCTTCTGCACTTCAGGTTCTCAGTTACCTATACGCTTACCTATTTTCTAACGTGTGACAATATGATCATGCTTAATGGAATCACTTTAACAATGTGACTGTAAACTATTTTGTCGGGTGGATTCAACATCACAAATTTAAGTCTGGGCTATAATACAACATAAAGACCATATTCAGTGTTCTCACCAATGTTCTGTCGTTGCATTCAAATAATGGATAGATGCTTTAAGACGATTGACAGGAAATGTGTCATACATCCGAAATTGCCTCCACGTTCACGGTGATACCAGACTCAACACACTTTTTAGCTCACCTGGCCCGAAGGGCCTGTAGCGTGCTGGGATGAATGACTTTGACCAACTTTCAAGGTCGCAGGGGTCAAATGTCTTAAAATCTTCAAACAACTTCATCTCAAAAACCAAAAGGCCCTGGGTCTTGATATTTGGCCTGTATCATGTTTGGATGAAGGGCTAACAAGCTTGTTCAAATGAATGACCTTGACCAACTTTCAAGGTCGCAGGGGACAAATGTCTTAAAATCTTCAAACAACTTCTTCTCAATAACCGAGAGTTCCAGGGTCTTGATATTTGAACTGTGTCATGCTGGGATGAAGGGCTACCAAGCATGTTCAAATAAATGACTTTGACCCACTTTCAAGGTCAAAAGGGTCAATTGTCTTAAAATCTTCAAACAACTTCTTTTAAAAAACCAAAAGTCCCAGGGTGCTTAAATTGGGCCTGTAGTATGCTGGGATGAAGGTCTACCACGTTTGTGCAAATGAACGACCTTGTTCGACATATAAGGTCACAGGCGTCATATGTTTAAATCTTTTAATAGGTTCTTATGAATCAAACACTGATATTCTGCCTGTAGCTGTATTTTAGTCCTCTTTAAGATTACAAGTGTGAGATTAATATCGGGTGAGCGATGCAGGCCCATTGGTCCTCTTGATATATGAGTATTTATTGTAACAATCATACAACAAACAAACCGCCGAGAATTTTTTGCGAATGATTTATTACTGCCGCCTCCATTAGGACGGATATACCTGTACAAGCAAATACAAGATCGGGACTAAAAGGCACCCAGTAATCTACATGCAAAGATCTACAATGTATATAGAAACGCTTATTATACATTTGAGACAAAGCAAAGATCTATATAAAAACGCTTATTATATATTTAAGGCAAAAGGCATTCCTAGGGTTAATATACATCGGTAAGCGTTATCGATACATCAGATCAAATACACATGAATTCACATCACAAGATTTCAAACTGTTACATGGTACACAAGTTCGTCTATGCAGACACAAACTTCCACTTTCTAGACTGTCAATGTTTATGACCAAATTATGTGTTAAGCATTTGTGTATTGCATTTGTGACTGTTTCATTTCTGCATATAAAGGAATATTAGTATCGAGTGTAAATTTTAAACTTTACATGTTATAACTAAACACGCTATTTTGATAATTAACAATCTACAAAAATCACAACCAGCTGGCATCTTTCTTATAGAAAAACAGAATATGGAGAAAGATTTGAATGATTAACAACTTTATAAAATGGGTTTAGACTTATTTATACTAAAAAAAACCACAAAAAAACAGACACTGCAAAATTTTGAACGCATATTGGAAAAAAAGAACAGTCGTTTAAACGTCTGGACAACACGAATAATTACAAGGAAATGAGTGGAATTTTTCATTTTAAAAACAGAATATGGAACCATTTCTATTGAACTTTAATGAATATGGGTTTATTTTTACAATAGAGGTTAATAAAGTTTGTATTGGAGGGGGAAATTAACGAAGTTCAAAAGGATGTTATCGGTCAGGAATCATTGAAGGGATCACTGAATGCAATTTATTTTCAAACATATGCTAAATAAATTAACTACAATGAATATGATTTCAATCGCAACCTTTATATTTATTTCCCATATTTTCTAATTCTACAAAGTCAACTTTTTCTACGTCATGGATAGTTCTCCAATGAATACTATAAATAAACACGACATATTCAAAACTCTTCTCGGAAACCGTAATTTAACATGAAATTTTCCGTTTTCTATTTATTTACGGAAGAAAATGTTTACCTAAAATGTCTAGGTTCAAAACATATCGTAAAACTCGACAACACGATGAAGGAATGGGAATGAAAATAAGACATCCAAAAAATAAACGAAGTAACACCGTAGCAGACATAGACCCATCCTCGATATTCAGGGGTTACGCTCACTTTCGTTCACTATGTCATAGCAAAATTGAATGCACGAAGATAGCTGTCTGATTGGTCTCGGGTAAAAACAACTAACCAATCGCTACGCTGATACCTGTCCTTTGAAGATTACAAAGGAGAGACGCCCGACTTCAAAGCCTGTCAAGTTTTACCGTTACGTGACCGTTAGATTCTTTTAATGTACATCAAATGATCGAACTAGTCTTCTTGTCTCATCAACAAGGTGGCGCACACCGAGCCTGACATATTTCAGGGATGCAGAGAGCGAAAGTGAGCATAACCCCTGGATATCGAGGATGACGGAAACCCAGTAAAACTAGTAAAAAATAGAACTATGTAAATACAGTGTAAAACCAAAATCACAATTCAAATTTATATATCAAAACAAAAGAAATATATGACTAAAAAGATAGTGCAATAATGTTGAAGAATAACATTATAACTCAAGAAATCCCAAAAAAAAGCACACATTTTTACTGTAAACTGAAAATATCATGTTGTAAAATGATGGACGAAGATATACATGTACAGCAATGTTACTTTAAATGTATTGATATTCAAGGTTAAAAAAAACGAAAAAATGAGCAAGATATAGTCCCAAATATGCACGTTACATCGTCAAGGCCAAGGGCAGCTCTTGAACCCAAATAATACAGTGAATATTTATAATTACACGAGTATATGAAAAAAGAGATGAGAAAATATTTTGATTCAAAAGTTTTAAAAATAGATTGTTGAAAACGTTTTGAAAAAATGACACGCTGATCTTACGCGTACCTTATTAAATAATTTTATTTAGTTTGTGTTTAATATCAAAAGTATATTAATAAAAAAGGAATAAAAGATACTAATTAATGTTTAATATGTTATAATTTCATATATGATCAAAATGGAACTTTGAATAACTCCAGTTCTTGAGTATCAAAGGAAACCTCTGTTGTTGGTCAATTTGGTGCAAGGAAAATAATTCCGACGCTCATAGCCGTTATTGTGTTGCAATATGTGTGATAGGAGAGTGAGATATATTTTCATGTATGATTTGTTTGAAAACTTATGATTTAGTTTAACTAAATACAATATATTCCTCCTAATTCACACTTATAATAACGAACTGTGAGTTTTTGTGTATGGTGGCCTTAAATTATGCAGTCTTTATGGTCGAAAAACAATGTGAAAATACACGCAGAAAAAATCTATGTTTTTATTACACGTATAAATAGGCATATAGAACATAAAACTAGTGACAGCCATGCACTGCCTTTATTACGTTTAAGATGTATTATAAAATTAAAATTAAATTAGGGTAGGTAAAGAAAAACTGCTTTTAATAGACGGATACATACACATGATATTTAAAACATTGAAAAGCATCAATGAAGCGTATGTAAAAAATACTATAAAGACAGAGACAAGCGATCCGGTTATTTTATAAAACATTCACAAACATTAATTAAGCTTGAGCTATATATAACATATATAAATAAAATTGTTTTAATCATAAAAAACATAACTAACATTAACAAAGCAAGAAAATTACACGTAAAGTCATCCATTCGTCCTATACAATTACCTCAAGTAAAATAAATAGCCTAGTTGAAAAGTTATACATGTATGTTATTGTTTTCAATTAAGACTTAATATCGCCTTGAAAGTTTACAATGACTTCGGTAAATACTTCACATCACTTAAACCTTGTATTTGCAAATATATCAGTTTTAAAACATTTTAAGACAATGTTTTGCCTTTTCTCTCAACGCCTGCTTCCCTTGTACTTCCGGTGGTTTTATGTTTCAATATATACAATCAATAATTGTGGTGTGAATTTATTGAGGGGAAGAATAATATGTTACTACTATACTATACACAGACTAACATGTTGCTACTATACTTTACACAGACTAACATGTTACTACTATATCATACAGACTAACATGTTACTACTATACTATACACAGACTAACATGTTACTACTATACTATACACAGACTAATATGTTACTACTATACTATACACAGACTAACATGTTACTACTATACTATACACATACTGATATGTTACTACTATACTATACACAGACTAACATGTTACTACTATATTATACACAGACTAAAATGTTACTACTATATTATACATACTAATATGTTACTACTATACTATACACATACGAACATGTTACTACCATACTATACACCGACTAATATGTTACTACCATACTATACACAGACTAATATGTCACTATTATTATATACACATGCTAATCTGTTACTTTTATACTATGTACAGAGGCTAACGTTTTCCTACTTTATACTACACAGACAAATATGTAACTACTATACACAGATTAATCTGTTACTACTAAACTATGTACAAGGACTGATCTCTTACTACTGTACTTTACATAGATTAATTTGTTACTATTCTACTATATACAGAGACTAATACGCTACATATTTACTATACAGCACGTTACTTATATACAGAGACTAAAATTACTTATGTAGAAGACACAGTTACATATGACATCAATACTACTCATTTAAACTACTCTTTAACATTAAAATTCTCGATTAGATATTTTTCATCCGACACAACTGAACTACCAACTAGCAATTGTTCGTTTTAAAAAGATCAATTAATCTGACAGTATCACACATATCACGTATTTGATTATAGATGATTAGATATATTTTGGTGTAGAAGTTATTTTATTTTAGCTACTTTACATATGCTACAGCAAGTCCTCCCACATATCTCCGATAAATGTCGCGGGTAGTTTATGAATTGTATTCCAGGTGTACACAACAGGTAAACAACTAACGAACCTGATGATATGTGACAATCACAGACTATACACACTTTCTGTTGACGGATGTACACAACAGGTAAACAATTGATAACGAACCTGATGATATGTGATAATAACAGCCTATACAATCCATCTGTTGAAACCGGAGTCGGTTATAGCGTTGGAGGTTTTGACCTTCTTTTTATACATTTTCTGCGGAAAAAAAGAGAAGTGTTTACATAAAATGCCAGCTGGACATGCATAACCAGTTGCCTTAATGGCGAAACGCTTGAGTAATATACCTTAAATGTACTAAAAGACGGATCCCGAAAGAGGTATATTACGGATAACTATCATAATAAAGCTAACGACTTTATCATAAAACTCTGATGGAGAGGGAACTTATATGAGATTCTTTTAGAAATTATCCATCGGATATTGTTTCGTTAAACATTTCGACATTTTTAAAGGAAAAGCTAAAGAGAATACAGTAAAATAACAGGGTTTTTTCTGACGAGAATGTTTGACGGCATCAAGACATTCCTAAAGATTTCAAAACGAGTAATATTATCTAGAGAACAGTGTTAATATTTCTGTTACTTGTATTTCTAGACGCTCCCTCTATCCAGAGACGTATATATTACATGAAATATATACGTCTCTGCTCTATCTATGGTTTGATGTTCCACTTCCGGTATATTCGGAGTATCTGTCGTCATCGATAAGAATAACAACGCATAATAAGCGACAGAGGAAACATTTTTAAGTCAAAGTCCTTAATTATTTGACAGAAATATGACCACGGACTGTTATGACAGTTGGATAACAGGATCATCCCTCTTTAGTTTGAAAGAGGAATGACGCGGTAATGTATTTATAATAACAGATAGATAAACTTTTATGGGAAGCTACTCATCAAAAAAGATTAGCATGTTTAGCGTCTTGGGTTTTCCTTACGAAACATATCACTAGCATTTCTTCAGAATCGTTGCCAATTTGTCAATGGCTGTGGTGTTCAGGTCACAATCATACAGCCCGTCATCACTGCTAAAGGCCATGTCCAGAATAGCACCAAGCTTTCTGAATTCTTTCCCCACACGAAGACTCGTAGGTGTCAGTGACGAAAGGTTGTCTTTGTTAGTATGGTGAAGCACCAATACCGATACATCACTGTTGACTGTGGAAAATATGTAAATAATGGTAAGGAAACCAGATCGTATCAGATCCAAAGTAGTTTTCATTTAAAATGCGATTAATGAAACGAGTTTTCTGACGAGTTAAAACAAAAAATCCGTTTTTCAACCCCATAAACCTCATGTTAAACGGATACGAGTTAAAGATACTTTTTATCGAATGATCAAGACATTTTGCCAATATTTAGAAATACGCTTTAACATATTATTATTGAAGTAGAAAATAGTCAACCTCCACCTTATTGTGACGTAAGAATGTTATCTGGATGTCTCTAGCATCCTATTCTGATTAGTTTACGACTTAGGAGTAGGCCGTATCTCAGGGGTTCATACACAAATTAAATGGCATAAGTATATTCTCTGCATAGCAATGTAATCATATGATAAAATTAAACATGTGGTAAAATGTACGCACTTATACTGCCACGGTTTACATGAAGTTCTAGTTTAAGCTTAACTCATTCACCCCTGAAGACACATTTGCACTCTTCCAATTCAAAGGTTGAATAGTCCATTATGAAATTTTAGGGATGAATGAGTTAAACTATCTGTTGTTGCCTGAATGAAGTATGTCAGTAACGTTATAAAGAATTTGAACGGAAAGTTTCCGTTTTTCTGTTTCTACATATGTTTCGGATCACTTTAGACATGAATGTTTCATTCTTTTAATACATATTATCCCTAAATGTACGAATGACCATATGATAAAGTAAAATATTAACGTTATCTGGCTTGGCTTTCTGCTTCTACAAACACAATTTCTAAAAGGTGTTTCATTTCTTCGAATTTCTAGTGATTATTATACAACTAACTTACGTAAAGTCATATCAAATATATTTGTACACATAACGTAAAAATAAATAGTTTTTTATATAAATTGATATTTAATGTGATAATTTTGTATACCAAATGAAATAAAGTTAATCTAATGTATGGAGAAATCAGCATAATTTCCTAACTTGTTTCCGTGTTTCCTTGACATACATGTACGTACCATATACCTACGTTCTATATTGTGACCAGGTATGACCTTATTGTGTTGACGGGCAGCTATGTCTACATCGTATCATATTATACCCCAGAAGTATAAAGTGTTACCTTCGATTCCTGCTAGAGCGTTTTGCATGTTTGTTCCAACCCTTGACATGTTCAAACATAGCACGACCATTGGCCCTTTCGGGGTTTCCGATGCTTTATGATAAAGTTTAATGGTCAGGTCGAACTTTGTCATGTCCATCATCTGCTCTAAACCTTTCGTCAGTTCTCCTGTAACCATATCCACCATTGTCTTTCCGATTGAACTGCCGTATCTCACTCCCAATACTGTGACAGAAGGGTAAAGAGATCACTTATGGTCGATACAACAAGAACATAATAGAGAGTTAAGCATGTATCTCAAGAAAACAAAGAGCAGGCATCTATACCATTGTTTTGAGGCATACAATATGTGTCGTACTAGGCCTTATGTTTCAATACGGATACTGGTCCTTTGCTTTATAAACACAAATGTTTTCATAGCCCTTAGGGTCATTTGCACTCTGGAAGTACATTTTTATATCATGCAAATGTATGAAAAGGCACAAAGGAAATGAAGAAAAAATCAAAACGGTTGCGAGAGAACATTACAGAAACAAAAGAAAAAACAAACAAACAAACAAAAAGACATCATTAAACCAATAAAACAGCAGGCGTTTTGGAATCGTATACATATGGTATGATGTTCGTAAGTGTAATGAACTCACCGATAGATTTCTTTTTGGGTGTCTTTAATTCTAAAATCTCCATTTTTATTTGGTGGTTTTCCTCCTCCTTTAAACCTATGGATACATAACATAAGTAATATATATTGCAATAAGTATATTATTATTTAGTTATGACTCTTAATTAATCTTAATTGATTCAAATATTGGTACATGTTGTCAGAGGTCTTAAACAACTGATGTCTAAACTTTGATCAGGTTCCTATGATGAATACCTGTTGTTAAAATAAGAGCAGCACTTTGTTAAAATATCGCTTTTCGAGAAGGCGTTCACAAAAGTACTGATATTTTTTCACACCAATTACATATATATATTAGAATCAGATTATGTTTTATACTTACGAATTTCATGTTGCAAATCCCTGAGTTCTGTTAGCTTTAGCTCATAGTTCGTTTCCATTGATATTTTCTCTTCTTTGAGTGTCCCCAGACTCTTGGCCAAACTTTCCTTTTCTCCCGCAAGCGTCTCAAAATCCAGAGTCAGTCGGGTTTTTTCTGTTTCTAGTGTCGTTGTATTTCTTGCCATGCTTTCTTTCTCTCTCTCAAGATCAACCACTCTGTCTGCGAGTTGTTTCTTGTCTTTCACAAGCGTCTTTACATTCTTTGATAACAGTTCCTTATTTTCTTCATATTCCTTTAGATCCTTTGTCAGCTGTTCCATTTCTGATTCTTGTGTCGTTATTTTTCTTATCAAGTTTTCTTTTTCTCTTTTAAGTGCCGTTACTCCGTTTATGAGCTTTTCCTTTTCTTCTTCAAGCGTCTTTAAATTATTTGATAACAGTTCCTTGGTTTCTTCATGTTTTCTAAGATCCGTTGTCAGTTGTTCCTGTTCTGTTTCTAGTGTCATTATATTTCTTGCCATGTTTTCTTTCTCTCTCTCAAGAACAACTGCTCTGTCTGTGAGTTGTTTCTTGTCTTTCTCGAGCGTCTTTACATTCTTTGATAACAGTTCCTTGGTTTCTTCGTGTTTTCTAAGATCCGTTGTCAGTTGTTCCTGTTCTGTTTCTAGTGTCATTAAATTTCTTGCCTTGCTTTCTTCCTCTCTCTCAAGAGCAACTACTCTGTCTGTGAGTTGTTTCTTGTCTTTCTCAAGCGTCTTCACATTCTTTGATAACAGTTCCTTTGTTTCTTCGTGTTTTCTAAGATCCGTTGTCAGTTGTTCCTGTTCTGTTTCTAGTGTCATTAAATTTCTTGCCTTGCTTTCTTCCTCTCTCTCAAGAGCAACTTCTCTGTCTGTGAGTTGTTTCTTGCCTTTCTCGAGCGTCTTTTCATTCTTTTATTACAGTTCCTTGGTTTCTTCGCGTTTTCTAAGATCCGTTGTCAGTTGTTCCTGTTCTGTTTCTAGTGTCATTATATTTCGTGCCATGTTTTCTTTCTCTCTCTCAAGAACAACTACTCTGTCTGTGAATTCTTTCTTGTCTTTCTCAAGCGTCTTTACATTCCTTGATAACAGTTCTGTGTTTTCTTCATGTTTTCTCAAATCCATCGTCAGTTGTTCCTTTTCTGTTTCTAGTGTTGTTATATTTCTTTTCATGTTCTCTTTTTCTTTTTTAAGTACCTTTTCTCCGTTTGTAAGTTGATGTTTTTCGTCCTCAAGCGTCTTAATATTCTTTGATAACTGTTCATTTTTTTCCTTCTGTTTCCTAAGGTCTGTTGTCAGTTGTTCTTTTTCTGCCTTTAGTTCCGTCAAATTCGTCGTTAAACGATTTTTATCATCTATGTTTCTTGTCATGTTGCCCTTTTCTATTTCAAGGGTTGTTACTTTTTCTGTGAGTTCAGCCTTTTTTTCCTCAAGCAGCCGTACATTCTTTGTCAAACGATCATTATCTTCCCCGTGATTCCTAATTTCTGTTTTGAGTTGTTCCTTTTCTCTCTCCAAATTCTTCAAATCCTTTGCATGATCTTTGCTTTGAGTTTCCAGGGATTGTATAAGGTTATCTTTTGTAACTTTCAAGAAAACAAAAAATCGTATAATAAGGTTCATCAACAATATTAATATGTTAATGATATGAGTAATATAATCTGAATATATGAAAAAGTATGCTTGTGTGATTCATTATAAAAGAGGAAGTATCACATGTATTTTAATGTACACTTTTATTTACTTTTATTCATTGATGTAAATGAGAATAATTATAGTATAGATTATTATCAAAGGGATGCCTGTTTATATCAACTTGTGACATTATACAATGATCCTGACATCAAAGTCACCAGTGCCCCTTGTCCAATCCCTATCGTTATGTTGCAAAATCAATGAATAAATGATAGTATAATGCAATGTAGCATCCTCACAGTTATTAGCATTCATTTAATAAAACGAAATTTGTATTAATAATCAGAATGATTTTGCAACATCAACATACACTGTATCTCCAATGTTACATTAATACACAGAATACCCCAAACAGAGTACTTCTAATTAATTAAGTGTAAATTTATTCATATTAACAATGTAAAAGTCATTCAATTAAAACCCCTACAGTAACGGCAATAAATGTATAATGTTTCCCTTGGTTTAAGTTGCTAACTATGGTGTGGCTTAAGGGAGGAGTTTGTTCAACTTAGAATAAAAAGAATTTCAGTTTGATCTTTGGTGAGAATGTTACAGATATGTTTACTTTTTCTGGAAATTCATGAAGACAGAAGTAGCAAAGATTGGTGTATTGTCCATAGTATTTCATCAACCTGCATCTTTGGAAACGCTAGTTTATCCGTCAGCAGTCGACATCTATCACGTAAGTCATGACATTCAGAGCTATATTTTGAACACCGAATCATAGGTACGGAATTGAAGGATGTTACATCCAAGAAAATGAAAGCTCTCGTCATAACAGACCAAATACATTTCTTAAGCTTGGTATGTGGTATGGTAGTGTACAGAGTCGAAAAGGCCGACGTTTTGATAGAAGAAACTTTTTGAACAGCCGTTCAAGATTGATCAACACATCTTTTGAATTATTCAAAACCCATATACCATTTATTCCACTTCTTTAGTAACAGGGTCACAATATGAAAGTAACCCTGATTTAATAGTACACGTCCACAAGTATAGGTTAAATGGAGCCGTACGTGTGTGTTATCAGCAGATCATGGAAGGAACAGGGAATTAATGCAATCTAACAATGCCTTAAACGTAGAAGTCCAGCAAAATCAAATGGACAACGTACACAATGTAAATATGCATAAGTAAAATGCATACTCTAACCTCTAATCATCGTCATCTAATGAAAGTAATAACCTATTAGGAACGCCTCCTCAAATAGTTATGTACAGTTCAGTACAAATATTTCCGAAAACAATATTACGATCACGGAACGTTATTTTTGCATTATAATCATAACTGTTGAAACGAAACGTATAAGTAATGCTAGTAATAATAATTCGTGGTTTTTATATACCGCTTTATCACAGCCTAGTTCGTAGGTCGTCTCAAAGCGGTTCGCACATTATTATCCGAGGTTATAGGAACTTTGCAACCAACCAATATCTTTCTAAACTCGCTGGAGAGTACACAGCCGGTGCTGCCATTTCGGCGCTCACAGCTAGCATTCTACAATTTTAGCACTGCCCAACCACGTACTCATTTTCAGCTGAGTAGACTAGAACAAGCGGAGTAAGCACAGTGCCGTGATGTGACTCGAACCCGCAACCCTTCGGTCCAAAAACAAAACTACAAGAGCTATAGTTATAAACGGAATATGTTACAAACAATGATGCTACCTAATGATTCTTTATTTAACGGGTTTACAGTTACTTTGATCCGTTACTAGTGAATATCTAAATAATGTAGTGTTAATCTTTTATAAGGAATTATTGCTCTCGTCCGATGCAAAGTGCAATAATGAAAAAAGGACATTAAATGATGTTGACACGACTTACCAATCGTGCTCTGTAACTCTCTGCTTGCCGATACAAGCTTTACACGTAGATTTTCGAGATCAGTGATATTGTTCTGGGATGTCTTCCTCTCTTCCTTGAGAGTACGTATTTTTTCTTTCAGCCTGTCATTGTCACGTTTCAATGAAAGTACTTCGTCATCTTTTGAACCTGTCGATCCAAAAATATTTCTAATTACTCATTGATAACTTGATTTGGAATTGGAGGTCTATTTACAAATAGATAAATAGTACTAATTCAGTCATCGTCCATTCACATATTCATTTAGCCCTGTAAAAGATAGAATTAGATACTTTCAGCATCATACATATACGATAAGCAATATAATAAGCACTTACTGATTTGTTGCTGTAAGACTGAATTTGTCGACGATAACGTGGTGTTATGTTTTCGAAAGTCTTTCATCTGATGTTCATGGTCCGTCTGCATCTTTGTTTTCTCTTCTTCAAGAGCACTCAAACTCTTCCTTAGTTGTTCATTTGTTTCCGTGAGTGTTTTCATATCTCTCGTTATGTTTTCCTTATCGGTCTTCAGTGAGTTGAGTTTTTCTTTCTGTTCATCTGTATAAGATTTGCATATGCCATTATGCGTATTAGAAGTGTCACGTATGTTTTTACGAATAAAGGATTCAGGATCTAACCATGTTATAAAGTGATCAAATGATTAATAAAAAGACGGACCAAATTTTGAAAGCATCATCACTAATGGTATAATTTCATCATATAAGCGATCATTCTATTTCAAAATTGCGTAATGAGCTGTTCCATGCAAGTCTACAATGGTAAGCATAGCTTTAAAAATGATAATTAGATACTATAAGCGTTCATTAAAAACTAGTCTGTTTGTCTGTCGTACTTAATAAAAAGGAGCAAAAAGATTTGAAATGTCATTTTCTATTATTCCCTTATTACCTTTACTACATACTTTTATTTCTCCCGCGATTACGCTTGTATTTAGCCTATTGTTATGAGTTATTTTATATAACCACCACATTGTAAATAAGTCAGCAATAGGGGAACTCATGCTTATGGCAAACTAATGATTGCTTAATTAAATAAATCTCACGGTTTCCCTCAACGATTACAATACCTTCACTAAATCGTCTGTATAGTGACAAACTATAGTGATATTTTCAATTTACATGAACATTTTAAAAACGATTGCCTCAATACAAATTCAACAATATTGAATTGATGAAAAGGACATCATAACCCTTTGCATATATGCATAGTATGAACGTACATTTATAATAATGCCTCAAATGTATATATAGGGCAAAATCAAACCGACAAGGAACATAATGTTTATATATAAAAGCATGAGACATTCTCTCGCCTCTGTTCTCTAATTCAAGTAATCATAACTTAGGCACGATTCTTCAGATATCTATGTACAATTCAGTAAAAATATTTAAGAAAAAGATTTACGGCAACAGCACATTTATATTGCGTTATATTTATAGCTATTGAAACCAAACTGTAAAAGGGAGCTTTATAGTTATAAATTAAATATATTACAGATCGGGATGTTACCAACTAATCTTTACTTGAAACAGACTGATTGTCAGTTTGATACTTTACGATCGAATGTTGAAATTATTTAGCGTTAATATTTCATTAATATGTATTGCTCATGTTTGATGAAAAGTGCAATAATAGAAAAGGATATTGAATAATATTGACATGTCTTACCAATAGTCTTATGTAACTCCCTGCTCTTCGACTTTGACTCTTCATTAAAACTTTCCATACATGTCAAATCCTTTTGTAATGTTTCCTTTTCTTCTTTGAGAGTTTGAATTTTTGTTTTGAGCCAGTCATTGTCGCGTTGCAATGAAAGTACCTCACTATCTTTTGAATCTGTTGATACAATTTTTTTTATATATTATTCATTGATGACCCTATTTTTTGGTTACAAAGAAATAAATTGTAATACATTAGGTTACTGTCCATTGAATTATTACAATTGTCTCTATGAGACAGGATATCCGGGACTTTCAGCAGCATAAGACGCTGTAAGACTGAATTTGTCGTCTGCATCTTTGCTTTCTCTTCTTCAAGATCGCTCAAACGCATTTTGTTCTATTCATTATTTTCTGTGAGTGTTTTTATATCCTTCGTCATATTTTCCTTATCCGTTTTCAGAAATTTGAGTTCTGCTTTCTGTGCTTCTGTATAACATATGCATACCGTAATGTGTATTACAAGTGTCCCACGTTTTTTTAAGAATTAGAAGTTATCCTTATTGATTTTTTTAACAGGGTTCAGGGTATTACCATACTATGTTATACAATGATCAAATGTTAACACAAGAAGACCAGTGTTTTAAATAGCATCACTAATTTTATAATTACATAATTTTAACCGATCAGTCTGTTTCCAAATTGCCTGATAAGCTATTGAATTCTAGTTCACAAAGAAAAATAAAGCTTTTAATGATTATTAGAATTTTTTGCATTTATTTATTTCATCTATCCTCGCTATATTAAAAAACCTAATGCTTTTGTCTGTCGCACTTAATAAAAACGAGCGATGAGATTTGAAATATCATTCAATATTATTATTGATATCTAAAGCTAATTTTTACGTGTAGAAAGATAGCTGACGCTTCCCGCTGCTCTATCAGTCAAATGCAGGTTGTGGTTGTTTAATATGTAAGAAAATCAATTTGTACAATCTAATAAGAACTTTTAGAACGTATTTCTAAAATAAACAAATATTATATTACATAATCAAGTAATGCTACTTTATAAAACAAACGAAATAAGAAATGAAGTATAATTAAATTGAAAGTGATATCACAAACTTTTTAATGCATCCATCATAAATAATATTTTTACACTTTTACTATATACTGTTAAAACCCGCGACTAAGACAAACGTGGCGAACTATTTTTGTATCTCGTCCACATTGTAAATATAGTACAAAAAGGGCAAAATAAAGATTGTATAATTAAATAAATCTCCCGATTTGCATTTTCCCCTCAAAGATTGCCCTTCCTACACTTAATAATCTGCATAGTGAAAAACTATAATGATATATTCATTTAACATAAACATTTAAAGGATCGCCTCAAGGCTAACTTAACCAAATAGATTTATTGAAAGGATATCATAACACTTTGAAAATATGAATAGTATGAACGTACATTTATAATAATGCCTCAAAAGTATGTGTACGGCAAAATCAAATCGACAACGAACATAATGCTAATATAAACAAGTAAGAGGCATACTCTCACCTCTAATCAGCCTTCTCTTATTCAAGTAACCGTCCTTTTAAAACACAAATAGGTCTTAATTTTGTTAGGCAAAAAACAAAACATATTCACCAGTCCGCTGTGTTTACACAAACATAATATTGTCAATGAGTAATCAAAATGTTATTACTCGATGGTAAAACATTTAACTAAGTTCATGTATATAACATTGTTTGAACTGTTTAGTATAAGAGAGTACATATTTTACTATGTACACTTACAATAATAATGTAAGCGTTTATGAGTCTCGCTAGATAACTAAAAAATAGTCAATACATACCGAGCGTTTTCCTGAAGTTTTCTATTTCAGATATTGCTTTTTTCTTTTTCTCTTGCAGCTTTGTCATTTTCCCTTCCAGTTCTTGCTGCATGCTCAGTTTGTCTTGGTGCATGCTTTCTAGATCATTGATCAGTTTGGCTTTGTCACTTATCAGATTTGCTTTGTCACTTGTCAAGTTTTCTAGCACGTCCTTTGGAAAATCTACAATCAATGACTCTTCATATATGAAAGGTTCAAAAGTAGTTATCAACACTTTTATTGATAGTGTTCCTTTTTCACCTTGAATATCATTTTTCTAGTGTTTTAAATAACTATGCAGAAATGCCAAAGCTTTCCTTCTAAAGCGTTTGAAAATTTTATAGGAGCGATAATTTGTAAATCCATATTATGGAAAACAATTATTCCCCCTTCCTTATCGAGAAGCTTACACAATTTCCGGATCAACTCACAAATATATTTCTTTCAAAAAACTATTAAAAAGCATTTAAAAGACATGTACACGTAATCTCTCAGCTAGAAACTAATTATGAAGTTGACCTCTTCTTTCTAGAGTTACATAACTTTGTGTATGTGTAGCTGAAGTATATAGTATAGCAACACATTACATACACGAAGCAAACATGGCTTTACACACAAAGTTTTACAAGTTCAAGATGTATATCATCTTACCAAGTCGAAAGTTTTATTGTAAGTTTATTCGTTTTAAGTTGAAATCTTTCAGTTGCATGTCTTTTGAATCAAACGTGTAAATGAAAATATTTTTTGATTTCATATGTGTTTCATAAGGAAGACGTCGATTACAAGCAGTGAGTTCCTATTTGAAATCGATTTAATGTTCATGTAGCTCCTACTTTCAATGTGCATTCTGATATGCATGCTTTTACACATGACCAATAAACACGGTTGCGCGCGCACGCTCGCTTACACACACACAACCACAAAGATATATATATATAAATCAACTTTTCCAATGTCATTCATTATTGACAGTTATAACAAGAAAATGTCATATCAGAGTATCTAGCTGGTAATTTTACTTACAAAGTGCTTTTCCTGAATCATGTACTTTTATTAATAGTGCCCTATTTTCGTCTTTCAGCTTTGAAATATCTCTGTCACGTTCGACTTGCATTGTCAGCCCTTCCTCCGTGATTGTATCTTGTTTCTTTGTCAGTCCGTGCTCCTCTATTCTCCCTATATGAAATATACAAGTGCACAATTTTTATATCTCCTTATCACAAGTGGCGTTCTAAGGGATGACTTAAACAACCTCTTCTATATCTTAACAAGAGGTCCAGAGGGCCTGTATTGCTCACCTGGATATCTAAGCAATCATGGCAAAATATTCTCCAAATGAGATCCAAGGGAATATGCCAGACCCCAATACCAATTCTTGTAGTATGTCTGTATTAAATTTTCATACCCAGCAATTTAATGTATGGTTATGGGGTGGGGATCTCAACTATTTTCAAGCTGTGACTCAGAAACTAGATCTCTAGGATTGTGGCCAGATCCCAGGATCAATTATAATTTTATAACTGCATTCGTCTCTTTTTGTCCAGCATTTGTACTTATAGTCTTTGGGTGGGGATCTCAACCGTTTCAAAGTTATGACCCGGGTTAAGTCTCCAAAGGTGGGGCAGACCCCAAGGCCATCCTGGAAGCATATGTGCATTCATCACTTTATACTCAGCAATTGTATATATGCATGGTTATAGGGTGGGGATCTCAACTGTTTCAAAGCTGTGACTAAGAAAATAGATCCCTAGGAGTTCGGTTAGACCCAGCGTCTATTCTAATACCATGATTACTTTTGTCTCTTTATGCCAAGCATTTGTGTATATAGTTTGGGGTGGGGATCTCAACCGTTTCAAAGTTATGACCCAGTGACTATTTTGGCCCCACTCCTTAGCACGGGGGGGGGGGGGCCGGCCCCACCATTTGTACAATTTTGAATCCCTGCTTTCCATGTATGCTTCTGACCAAATATGATCGATATCCAAGGCATAATTATACAGAAGAAGTCGTGTAGGGCAATATAGCCAAATTGCCCCCTTTTGGCCCCGCCCCTCAGCCCACTCGGGGTCAGCCCAACCAGTTGTACAATTTTGAATCCCCACCACCTAGGGATGCTTCGAGTCAAATATTGTTGATATCCAGCCCATAGTTCTACAGAAGAAGTCGTTTGTAGTAATATAGCCATATTACCCACTTTTGGCCCCGCCCCTCAGCCCCATGGAGGGGGGGGGGGGGGTACCCCCCCCCCCCCCCGCCCCAGGGGGGGGGGGGGGGGTCAGACCAAATACGGAACAAGTCCAAGTCCTTTCTTTCCTTATGAAAAAGAAGGATGTAAAAGAATTTACTATGTGTCCCCCATTGGGCCCCGCCTCTCAGGTTAGGTTCACCTTCACCCAAGGATGCTTCAGACCAAATATGGAACTAATCCTTTCTTTCCTACAGAATAAGAAGGATTTTAAAGAATTTGCTATTTTTTCCGTATTGGGCCCCGCCCCTCAGCCCCCAGGGGGGGGGCATACCCACCATTTATACAAAATTTGTTCCCCTTTCCCTATGGATGCTTCTGACCAAATTTGGCAAAATCTGCTCAGTCGTTTATGACTAGTAGCGATTTTTAGGAAAAACAATGAGGCAGATTATTAATAGTTTCGGCTAATCATTACCTTTCTAAATATTGTATTCTTAAACACAGCTAATAATAATCCGCCTTGATTAAACATGTTTGGCTCTGTACAGTGAAGACTGCAGCAACCATGTGTATCTTTATAAATATTTTATTTTTTATTAAATTACCAGAAAAAAAGCTGAATTGGTTCGACAGTTATGTTGTACACGTAAACATAAAGTCGAAATAAGTTTATATATATAAAAATGGCGTGAATTTTGGTGGGTTGTATTGTGACGGCATATGTATGTACTTATGACTCGTGCCCTTTCCGGACCTCGAACTCACAAGCTACGGTACAAAACGCCTAGCATAGAAAATTCCGCAGCTCCTACCACAACACCATCTCACCTACTAACATATACTGATATGCAAAAGAAACGCAACACCCATTAATTGAGCATTTTTTCCCATTATATTAATGAACCATTGTTAGCAGTTTTGAACAGTATGGTATACATTTCCCCCATCTATTGTCAACCTTTAGCTATCGGTAATTAAAGTTCTGGTATTGCAGTTCTTGAGAAACACGTTTAGGTATGCACAAAACGAAAATGAGATACCAGGTATATATATTGTTATGATAAGCTGAGATACTATGCTGAAGCAGTAGAAAATATCCTCAGTCATTATCGACGTGACGTCAGACTCCAGTAGATTCCATGACACCGTCCAAATGTGCTTCCTATACGAAGATTGCAACGTGAACTCTTCTCTGACGAGTAAAGCTTCACGCTATGCTGCTCAGTTGGGCACCAGTGTGTTTGTCGATGTCATGGTGAACGTTAACCCAAAACTGCATGTTGGAACGTGACGGCTTTGGTGACGGAAACCTTACGGTGTGTGAAGAGATTTGTAGTGGCCGCAAAACACGTTTGGTCGTCACTGATGACAAATGACCAGCCCAATATTTCATTGTCACTGATGCGCAACCTGTCATCATACCGTTTTGCCGCCAAGACAACGTCAATTTTTAAGAAGATAAAAATGTGTGTCATATGGTGCTATGGACAATTTCGCCTCAACAATGTCGACATGTTACCTCGGCCCCCATACATTTTCTATCTCTCGCCAATAGGACAAGCTAGATCGACGCATTCGAACGTGCCCATATCAACCAGAGGTTCTACCGGGTTTGCGCTTTTAGAAAAGTTGCAGAACATTTTTAAAACTTTCTTTGAAATCTCTGCAAATCAGAAATTAAGCAGAAACAAATACTAACGGGGCATTATCGTTATTGAAGTTGATAATTCAATTTGCTACCTCCTCTTCAGTCTTGATATGCCTTGCCAAAGTGATGATGGCCAGCGCTAAATTCACTTTATTTTCCAATAGATTTGATGAGTATCTTTAATTTGTTACATAAATATTTTCTAATTATCTCGAACTCTTTTAAGGACGTATTTCTCCGTTCCCGGCCAAATCTCTTCTTTATCTTAGTAAATAAAACTCTTATAAATTGAACCTTGAAAAGTCGAAAAACTCGGATACCTCGAAGTAAGATATTGGTTTCAATAGCGTTAATCCAACATCATAACATCGTCTACGTCATAGTGTTCGAATTTCATTTTGTAACTTATTAATTATATGATACAAAAAAACGCAAAAGTACGACATCTTGCCATCCCATGTTTATGAACATCTTTCGCGAGTAGACTAGCATGAAATCTGTAAATAGAATTGGCGATAAAGCTTCAGACTGTAAAGTGTGCGGACTGTCAAAACCATGTTGTTCATAATAAAAAACAAATTTCATCAATGTTGATCAACAGTATTCTGTACTTCCTGCGAGTCCGTTTAATAATTTGTACACCCACACAGACGACAGTGCAAACCGGAAAATTGGTCACAAGGCGTGGTCATGCGTTAAAGAGTTCCACAGTTTAAATCACAACATAAGACAGCTTCAATGGTTCATGTTTTTACAGGAGCCAGTATGGCTTTGAAAGTCGATCGAGAGATTTAAGAACAAAACGATAATTGCTGTTGATTACATCGAGTCGAGGAGGTGTCATGTGTCACATTTGGCTTTAATGAATCAAAGTGTTACATGTACTATATACTATGTTTGTGTGTGTTTTTCATTTACAGAATCGACTACGCGCTCGCTCCATTACAGTGATTTGTTTTAGACTTTCAATTCTACATTGTATAGTTCAATTTTAAATGTAACACTTCAGGAGTAAAAAATTGACGGACTTGCAAATACAAAAGCAGACATTGAAAGACTTTGCCAAGGTCTAGACTAGCTAAAAATAGCATTTAATCAATAGGCTTGTCCACATTTGATAATGAATTCACAATATGATCCAACCGTTTTGATTGCGTTTAACGACAGTACACTTTTCGGAAGTAACTAACTCTATTTTGTAAGCGTGTTTATTGTGAAATTACATACCTGTTTTTGTTATATTGATTACGTATATCATTAATCGATTGATTATAAGCATACATGTAGGCTATTAATAAAATCAACAACTGCTAGTGCTATGTCGAAACAGCAAATTTCATACCAAATATATGAACCCGTATAACTCGAATATTCGGATAACTCGAAGTTTATCTACGACCCGTCCACTTCGAGATAACGAAGCTCGACTGTATAACTTTAAATTTGAGGTTACTTTTCTTATGCATGTTAGTAAATATTGCATATGTCTGCACGATTGAAGTTCTGCTCTTAACTTAAACACCTACCGTTTTCGACCATTTTGTCTCTTTCTCTCTGTAGCTGATCTTTTAAGTTTTGTATTTCCTCCTCCTTTTTATCCATAGTTTGTTCCAAAGAGTATGTTTTTCCATCTGTAAAATTACAAGAATGCGTTTAACATTTTAAACGTAAGGTACAGAATTCTGTTTAGGTTAGAAAGGATAGGAAAATGGATCAACCTAATAAAAACACGTATATACTACTATCAGATCTAAGGCAATTAAACGTTTGAAAGAGTTTTCTCTATTAATTTCATGTCCGTTCAACTGAATTAAATCAATACCAAGTTCACAACCTGACATGAGTGTCTGTTATAGATAGAAACTTTATTTATTTTACAATCTTTTTATGGAAACACTGAAGACTAGTGGTAGGATGCCGGGCTCATAACCGAAGGGTTGCGGGTTCGAGTCAGGTCACGGCATTGTGTTGTATCCTTGAGCAAGATACTTTACTCTGCTGCTTGTTCCAGTCTACTCAGCTGTAAATATGGTTTGGCAGTGCTAGAATTGTTGAATGCTAGCTATGAGCGCCGAAATGGCAGCACTTGCTGCATGCTCCCAGGGAGTTAAGAAAGATATTAACTGGTTGCAAAGGCCCTATAACCACGGATAATAATTTATGAGCCGCTTTGAGACGACCTACGAACTAGGTTTTAATAAAGCGGTATATAAGAGCCTAGAATTATTGTTATTATTATTAATATCATTTTGAAACAAATTATATAAATGTTTATCAATCACTCTTGTTGGCCCGGATATAAGCGCATTGGGGGTGGGGGTGTCTTAATGTGGGAGGAAACCAGAGTACCCAGAGAAAACCCACGTGGTTGGGCGCCTTGGTGAAAAGGCAAGTGCGTTATCCACTGCCACCCAACCACCCGAGTGTCTGTTTTGTGACATCGTATAGATAAACTGTCAAAAGTAAAACCAGATCCCAGGTCACTGATTTAATCATACGTGAAGATATTTATTACAGGAATACCTTGTTAAAAAGTAAAAGGAATACATACCGGAGATTGTGAGTGTTTCTGTAAGTCTTTGGACATCCTCTCGCAAGCTTTTTCGTCCTGTTTGGAGTGAGACCACTTCTTTTTGCAATGTTTCATTTTTTGAGGTTAACTGCCGTTTTTCTCTCTCGTGTTTGCCTGTTTAAAAAACGTGCATAGTAAATTTATTTTATTTTCAATTTACTAATATATCAATTAATTTGAAACTAAGTGACTACTGTGATTATAGTTTCGTTAGGTGTGTCTAAGATCGCTGGTGACCTTCATGCATAACATGTGCTACACGTTTTTGATAAAAGCTTACCCTTCCAGAGCAGCTAGTTACGCCTTAATATGTGTCAAATGATACACTGTATCTTTATATGCATAAACACCAGGAGATAAATAAGTTAAAACATGTTAATCGAACCATCTATCAATCATGTAGTTGTAGTATACACTACTGGGGTTGGGGTGGGGGGGGTGGGGGGTTAAAACATATTGCCTAACACAAACCATGAACGACCAAGGATTTTTGAACTGAAGCGCTCCTTAATCGAAACTTGAGAATGTGAATATAAACTGTTCATTTGATTTTTTAATTTCTCATTAATTTTTATTGTTCGTCGTCCCGTCATCATATATTTTACTCCTGACAAAGTCGTTTTACTGTCGTCTATCAAACACATGAGTACAAGAAAAATATAACAAATTTTAAAGCTATCTTGCTTTGCCTTATTATTGCTTATTTAATCGTTTTTAATTTATAGATGAGAACGATAGCATGCAAATCGAAGAAAACTGATAATTACACGAATGCGTTTCATTTATATATATTATGCTCGTGTTAATTACAGCCCTCACTGATTTCAACTAATTTAAATAAGATAGGACGATTGGCGGTTGTTTCTTATCAGTTCCGAAACTGGATATACGTCTTTATGATGGAAAGTAGTATAGCATGTAACATTTTTTAGACTATAGAGTGATATACCTTCTTCCAGATAGTTCCATCTCAACAAAATGATACTATAGTAATATTTACTTCTTAGTCAGTGATTGGGAATGGAAATTTGGAAACAATTTTGTACAAATTGTATAACGATTTCTGAATGCAATAGTGAATAATAAATACCAAAAAATAGGTCCGACTTTAACGACATCGGTATAGTGGCAGTTTCCACTATTTCGGACAAACTGTTACATTAAGTACTTTTCAATGCTCAAATCTTGTCTTCTGCGCATCTGATATTCTAGATAAAGGGAATATGGGTAACATGTTACCCGTCCCTTTAAATAACTGCAGTATTAGAGTGCTACTTTGCAAATGTCTCGACATTTTCTGACAGCTGACTTAACTGATTTGGCACATTGTGGCTAAGTGAGTTGTTTCGGCAGTTTAGAACCATTGGTAATTTGATCCTTCACTTGACAAAGGAAACAGACGTTTCGAAAGCTCACAAATAAAAGTTTTCAATTCGATTCCTGTCTATGTTCAAAACAAACTTGGCCTTTATCTTTAATACAAAACTGATGAATCTCATTCCGAATAAGTTCATAGCTCAAGATCATGAATGTCTGGAATCATATCTCATTAACAAAGCAAAAACAATGTCAAGATTCACTACATACTAATTTCATCTTCTAGCTTTTGAATTTCATGAGGCCTCGTTAGGTAGAATCCTTTCATTTTCTCTGTCAGTGCATCCACTTCGGGCGAAATCATTTCCTCCTCTGCTTTCCCTTGCATTAAAAATACGTATAATTTAAACTTTCCATAATTGTTGTTAAATACAAATTCATACGTAAAACTTCAAGCACCTTTTTTAGTTTTTATTAAACATTCTATCAGGTTTCAAGATATAAATGTACTTTCTTACGGATGTCAAAGTACCTTACGATTATAAAGTAACAAAAGACGTTAAAGAAAACAATGACAATGAATATAACAATGAATGATTTCACAGAAAACCGATCAAATCCCAAAGATCAATATATTTCCAGTTCCAGACATTATTACTCGTAACTTTTAAATGCTACAGGAACTTGAGTGGAATATTTATAACAATGAAGGAATGAAGCAGGCCTAACATATATGCTTAAGATCGACTGAGAATAGTTGTAATCAGCATAGACAAGAGATCTAGACTGATATATCAAAACAAATATGTGTCATACCCGACATAAATACCATCCTTGTCTCCCATGTAATGAGTGAAATACAGTAGCATTAATATTGCTACAATTTGGAAAAAAAAAATCAATGATACGTATTTTTAAATAATTTTATAATAACAATGTGCGATGTAAAATTGGAAACATCTATGTTTACTTTTATCTATTATAAAGTAAAATTATTTTTCTTCACAGAATGAAACAAATAATACAATATATCTAACAATCTATATTCTCAGTCGATCTTTAACAAACAAAAAACAATTTATTTGACAACTCAAAACATATTTTATGTAGAACATAGATCTGATTCTGCAAAACATCTCAAAACATTTCATAGCACTGGAAATACTTCTATATGCATTCGTTGTTACCAAACCATTTATCAATTTTTCCTTGATAGACTGGTTATCTTTTCATTTGTATTTAAAAACTGGTATAAGAAATAATCACCGAGATCGGACTACACATAGTTTTATGTATACAATTATTAATTTATTGTTGTTCTATATGAAATTTTAATACTTGTATAATTTGTGCAGTTTGTTTTTAGCAAAGATTTAATTTGAGGATACGTAAACTACAAAGCTTTAGAGATAGAAATATCAACGATTTGCAAGGTCTGTCATCTCGAAAAGACATGAACTTCACTCAACTTGATGACAGATGATTAAAAAACTATTTTTTCTTAACTATAATTAATAAAATATGCGAAATAGATATACACTGTACGAACTGCTATTATTTTTTTTGTGATGGCGACCATTAAACCTTTCAAAGCCTTTATATCACCTGTTTCTCTCAAACCCGTGTTGTTAATTTATACACATCGATTCGACATCTACAACGTTAATCGAAACATTCGGGGCAGGCCTGTGAGTATCGAATAATCTGCATCAAGAAAACACTCTAAGGGGTTTCTTCGAAGAAAGGGGAAACATCAAAACAGCAAAATAGAAATACCACGTTTATCAGCCAGCTAAAAATGGCATTGCTATGTTAGTCATTTTGTAACAAAATAAATCGAAGTAAGCGGCATATGTAGAAGGGTTTGTATTGTCTTTGTTTCGAAGATCAGGAGGATAGAAACGGAACGAAGTTGTCAAAAGATTGCTTGTTATTTAAAGACAGAATATAAATTGTATATCTAAAAGGAAAAATTGTCTTGGCAAGCTCATTGTTACCACTCCTGTTCAGTTCTTCAATTAATTCATCCATTCAGTCTCACAAAAATAAACCTGCACAAGAGAAAGAAACGTTTTTCTTTTTCTTTGTTTTTAATAAGTGTGATTGAAAATCTTTCCATAAACCACGCAGAAATCTACATCTACATGTTACTGGGTGTTTCCCTGGTGATATATCAAACAAACGTCTTTCCATACGTCATACAGCTCGTATGTTTAACAAAGATTATGTCTTTCTGCTTATAATAGAAATTATATATTTTTCCATTTTTTCGCTCGTAGTAGGTAATGAAAAGAAAAAAAAGATAGATCCACTTACCTCTTTCCAAATGGGTTATGTTTGATTCATCCGACTCCAATTCAGTGTTTGTTTCGTGTGTGGCATCCTGTTTTAATTTGCTTTGTTGGTCGTCAACTGTGCGTAAGTTTCCGCGAGCTTTATATTCCTCACTGTTTGTATTTATGTATGGTGGACAATTAGAACTCCGGTCAACTCCTGAAGACTGCACCCCATCTATTTCGTCGCTTGAATGCGAACCAAAGGCTTTTTCAAACCAATCAATTGCCATTTTTTTTAGATGCGACTGATCATTTACATATTTTTCTGTTTGACATTCCGTGTCGACGAAACTGCGCAGCTCAAGTTTGTTGACCTTTTCCTTACACTTAGGACAAACATCGTACCACGTCTGCTTGCCCTCCTTTTCTAAACTGAGATAAACTCCATCAAGTTTCTTCAAAGTGGCGGACAAATCGTCCACATGCCTTTTAGCGTCTTTAGAGATTGCCTACAAACAGAAATAGATTTAAATAATAATAACGACAGAATCTTTATGATATTTTGTAAACAGTAAAGTCTAAAAGTATCTGCTATATTTATTGATTCATAATTGAAACTATGTGTAATACAGGTAATAGAGGCACTTATACAATAAGAGGTATATGTATACGGATACGTATACGAATACAGATTTAGGGGGGTCAACCATTGTTTGTAAATGTTGGAACTGTACACTATACAACATACATATTTTTGTATTCGTATATTTTGACACATTTTTATAGTATAAACTAAAAGTCCGTGCCGTTATGTTTATACAACGTATTAATACTGATATTAGAACTAAATGTCTGAAAGAAACAAATGTGAATGATCTCAGCCTGAAATCTAGCAGCCCGAGTTTCCTGTGGCCCTGACACCAGGCATTTTGATAGATATATGTCTGATGTTGGGCCAGAGGAAACTTGGGCTAGCTATCTAGCGGCATTGCTTTGCTATGTTTTTTTACGACAATATCTGTCGGGAGGGTTTATTATCTCAAGGCAGACCTCGTTGTTTATAAGATATCGTATTTACGCATGAAGTTATTTTCTACAGAATTTGTATAAAAACTATACATTTTGTAAGATATTTTATATATGGAAACATAAAACATATTTTACAATATATATATTTCTTGATTAAAATTTATTTTCATTTCTTTTTCTGCACTGTCGTTACTACTTCTTTGTCCAGAAATTTCTAAATTAGATATATTTGATGAGGTATAATTATATAGAAAAAATATAAGATATCTGTACATTGGTCACGATATCTTAAACAAAACCATAAATCTTAAAACATGGCCAACAGGTTCCAGGTGAATGTCTATTATAAATAAGAGCATTTCAAAATGTGTAACTATTTATGATCTCATTTCTATATTTTGAAAATCTGCATAAACAATTCTGCAACGGATAGGTGAAAACGAGCTAATGTTATATAACATTCTAAAGGCCAACACAGCATGCATTGCTTCGATATCAGTAAGAAATAAATATCGCGAAAAAAAACCACTGATAGTTTTTTTATACGACATACCTATAACATTGTCGGGGCGAGACTGAGTACATTTTATAAATAGCGAAGAGCGTCTGGCGGTAGGCTGCCTCAGCTAGTCATACGGTCTATTTAATTTATGCCATGGACATGGTTTTAGGTTCAACTGAATACTTAACCTATATATAGTTTAGGTATATATAAATTGTTTATTTAAACTTGAACGACCGTCAAATGGATTTTGGATTTTCTACTTTCGATTCATCATACATGTTATATTATTAGATTGTATTGTGGAATAAAGCAATACAACATTCGTCTTTAATGCATCCTTATATCTACACCTTGAATAAGCAGAATAACAGTTCTGCAAAACTATATGTGAAAACGAAAGTATATATATTTTGTAACATTTTAAATCCCTACATATAGCTAGTCTTGGTATGTATTAATCATACTCCTTACATATAAAACATATATGGGTTCCTTTTATAATCCTGATGCTTTTGAGGGCAAACTCGAAAATATCTGGGTTTGCTTTCTGTCTACTCATAATTTGTCATACAGATATAAGAGTATACTGCTCGCAAGGATGTGTGTGTTTATTATAAACAAGCTCGATTCAAAATGGCCTCTCTCTATACATGGTGTAGATGAAGCAATGGCGTACAGAATGGTGAAACGAAAGTAGAAATATTTTGTAACACTATAAACGCTTATTTTTAGTATCTGTAAAGAAACTATGAAACTTGAATCAGTAACTTTATAATATTTCAGGATTCACATAACTATACATACCTGTATAACTAACGGAGGCGCGGCCGCGTACGATGGTATGAATGTCTTGTGGTAGACTGCCATGCCTAGTCATGTGGTCTTTTGTTTGAAAGAAAACAGGTACATCACATCAAAAACATCCAAAAAAACTTATGTTTTGGTTCTGTGGCAAGTCCATACAATGCCATGATTGGGACAAACTGAAAAACATAGGTTTCGGTTTTTCTACTTTCGTTTCAATATACCTGTTATGCGGTCTTTATTAAGGCTTCTGATAAAACACGCAAAGCGCAGTAATGCAATCTTTGAGTCAAATTTTCCAACCGGTCACTTGATTTGAAAAACGTAGTTTATAAGCAACCTCCTAATCAAATAAGATTGGTTTGCAATCGACAACATACAACTCACAAAGACGGATAAGACTTTCGAGCATTGTTTTTCCTCTCGAAACAGGGCGTAAAGTATGCCGACGTCCGGTGAGGTATCTTTCATTGCGATAGACCAAATAATTTCCCCCTACCTTGAGGGTGTGACAGAGAAATCTCCAGTCCTCGGGATGATGTTCTCGAATGTCTTACCCTAGGCTTTAAAGATATCTGCAACCCGAGGGATGATATTCTTGATTCGAGAATATCTTCCCGAGTGTGTGATTTCTCTGTCACACCTTCAGGGTAGGGGAATCGGGATGATTGTTTTCCTCCCATTCGGTTTCACTCACAATTTCAATCGGTGATTGCATGAAATATAAGTGCTGATTGCATGTTTTTCCAGCAAATCCAGAGTTGTGTTCCATGGTCTGCTGCTGTTGACGTGACGTCAATGCATTGATGACGCGACATCATACTATTGTTTTGACTTAGATCTCGCCACTCTACACGAGGCTTTCTACCCCTATGGGGTAACAAGCTGAACTTATGTAGCTAAAACGGGAGATACGTCTGTGAAGGGTGAGAGAAACAACGGAACCACTTGTCTTAACTCTGCAATTTAAGAAATACAAGTTAGGGTTTTCGTTGTCATTAATCTAAGTGCTAACTTTTAACTCTTAAAGTGTTAATCTAACTGTCAAATTTTATATTCTGAATTATGCACTGTAAAAAGCTATTTATAAACAAAAATCATAATAGAAATTGAGCATTTTACAATGAAGAATACTCAAATGCAAATGAGAAACTAAAATTCACAAGAAATTAACTTCAAGGTAAGACATAAAAATTAGAGTGATCATATTGAAAAAAGAAGTAAGCATATATAAATATAGAGACATTACGATACCAAAATAAGAATTAGACATTTACAATGGCATCTTTCAATGAAGAATCCATAAATCCATATTAGAAATTAGAATGAATCCGTTAAAATGTAAATGTAACACAAATCACTTACAAGCGTTTGTTCTAGAGACTAATTTGTTTATTAAGAAAACCTTAATAAAAATATCATTATTTACATGGGAAACATGCCTCCCGATATAATGGTTGTGGCAGGTTCTGTGAACTGTCTGTTGATCCCTCATATCTACTGTCACTTATAGTGAACTAGTTTGTGTAAAATATCGTTCCAAACTCTCTTATATCTCACTTGGTCTAAGAGGGCAAGGTCTGCATGGTGATTAAACTGTCGATGATATGATGGTGTTATCATCATAGTATCTACATAACCTCTTGTTACATCTTCGTGGTGACCGGGTGGTTAAGGCGTCTGACCGTCTGAAACATTATAGCCCTTCTCCACTGGGTCGCGGGTTTGAGGCCTACGTGGGGCAGTCGCCAGGTACTGTCCGCAGGTCGGTAGTTTTTCTTCGGGAACACCGGCTTTCCTTATCCACCAAAACCCGGAACGTTCTTATATTAACATAGCTGTTAATAGGACGTGAAACACAAACAAACCAAACCATATTTCATCTTACTATTGCGTGTTGATCCATAGAAGGGGATGCTGCCTGAGCAGCTGAATCATGAGTTACCCTCTGGTGTTCATATTACCTTTTTATAAGCATTTAAGGTATGGTGAGACTTAGTTTGATTTGAGTTTTGCCGCTGATTTACAAAGCAGATATCTGTATCTGCTACGTTTACTTTTTCAATACTGGGTAGCATTTTTCAATAGATGGAAAATAAGACGGATCGTTCTCCGGACAGAGAAGTAAACACACCTGGGCTGTCTGCAAGAGAGTAATGATGGACAATTATCTGGTGGTTGGAGTTACGGACTGTTTCTAATTCTCCATGTAAAAGTGAATACAAATTACATTTTGTTATTATAATCGTGCATGATATAGTATATTTGAATGCCAAAACCGGATTTCGTATATTTATTTTTTCTTAAAAGTTAAGCAGGGCTTGGGTTGGGGTGTTCGATCATGTGTGTAAGAAATAAGTTATATCATGGTCTGAGCCTATTATCTAATTTCATGGGTATATGAAGCCGATTATGATTAATTTACCCGAGTTCCATCCAAAAACCAAAACTAAGTAGAAAGTTAATCCTTATATTTATAGTATTTTTCTTTGATATTAAATAAAACGCGTTCTTTTAACCGGAATAACGTTATAACCCACGGGATGATTACAAGCATACCATTCAAGCCCGATGTGTGATAGGGTTACGGTTCGTGCCACGCTTCGAAGGCCACCGTGACATGATACGACCAAACTAGAACTTAAACGAACGAAATCAGCTGGATATCTTCAAATTAATCATCACATTGGTTTGTAAGTTCGCTCTTAAAATTCTTACTTCAAAGTTTAATGCGCCTAACTTCTGATGCAAAGGATTGTGAGATTTGAAGTACAGGTATTGGTCCCTATGGTGTTTTTTTCTATGGACCAATACCTTAACGGTTCCGTCTTCTTTCTTTACCAGTAGAGTGTCAAGGAAGGGCATTGTGCCACTGGTTTCTTACTCATATGTATCACTGATATCAGTACATTACTACTTTTAGCACAACTTGCATGGTTGCGTAACCCGATG